CCCTGGGAAAGAGTCATGTCAGCACAACACAGAGAGACCCACCCACCCACACACACACACACACACACACACACACACACACACACACACACACACACACACACACACACACACACACACACACACACACACACACACAGAAGTTCATTAGTGAAGCTCTATCGGCGATATTTTTGCATCAGGAACAAACCGTGAGCCCCAGGGGCAGAGAAGAGCGTTTGGGTAACAGAGAATATTACAAAAAGAAAAACAAGGAGAAGTGGGGACTGATGAAGAGAGAGTGGAGGAAAGAGAGTCAATGCTGAGGAACAGAAAAGAAAAGAAACAAGAAGTGGAGGAGCAAAAAAAAAACATATAATAAGAGAGAGAAAAGAGGGGGAAGATTGCAGAGGTAGAAACTGAAAGAGCAGCAACAATAACATGTTTTGCTAGTATTTGAGTAAATAACTTACTCAGAAAAGGATACCAATGATAACCTTCTTTGAATCCCACTTTCTCTTAAAGTGGACCTATCATGCTATATTTGAAACATATATTGTAGGGCCATGNAATAGATTTATATTGTGCAATTTTCCAAAATCACTTTGGTTTCTCATACATTAAAGGCAGAGAGTGAAATTCAGTGAATACACGTAGTTTACAGAGATGCTGTATGAGAAACCAAAGTGATTTTGGAAAATTGCACAATATAAATCTATTCTAGTAGACCTCAACAATGGAATTATGATCAGTGGAAATGGCCATGACATGGGACCTTTAAGACATTTCAACATGAGTGACTGGAGAGAGAGAGAGAAGAAAGGGAACATTTCCGGTGTTTTGTTCAGAAAGGTGCATAATGTATTCTTTGAGGTGCCATTTTAATCCTAACATTGTAATGTGGTTTTAGTATTTAACTGCAGCTAAAAAACAGGAATACCAACTGCAAAAAACACTAGGAAGGGATGGGTTTAATTTTTTTGGGATTTCTTATTCGTGGCTGGGGGTCAATTTGCTTAAAGGGGACCTATCATGCAAAATGCACTTTGTGATGTCTTTTATACATAAATGTGTGTCCCCGGTGCGTCGGGGAACTCACGCAGCGTCAGAAAATAAAACCCTCTCTCTTTTCCTCCGTACCCAAATCTTTTAAAAACGGGTGTACAACGAGCGGACACAGTGTCTCTCTGTGTTGTGCTGACATGACTCTTTCCCAGGGTAACAATCAGTGAGAGGTTAGTTCTATTTATTGTATTTGTTCTGTGGAATTTAATAAATAAGTGGGAATAAATAATGTGAATTATTTAATATTATGAATTATAAATGGCACGGTGCTACTATAGACAACACACACAGTGAATGAATAATGAATTGTTGCTTTGCTCCTTAGTCACACAATCATTTTTTGAAAAATAGAAAACAAACAGGCCTGTGGTTCATCTATAAAGTTAAAAAACAAAAGTATTTCTCTGACTCTGTGGATGATCTAAGGGTTCAGGACAATTTAAAAGCACTGTAACCGTTTTTAATGTAGAAAGCATTTGTGCAACGTAAAGGAATAATTCACCCAATATTAGAGTGGTGCAGTGATGACGTATTTTTGTAGGCCAACCCGGAAGTAAGCTGCGCATGGGTTCCCTCGACAAAAAAGCAATGGGATTTCTCCATCGGCTTTTGGAATATTGTAAAAAATAAGATCTGTGGAAAAGGAACCTGTGCATTTATCAAACAGGTTCGTTTTCCATGTTTTCGGCCTACAAAAATACTTCACCCCTGCACCACTCTATACACGCTTTTGTCTTGCCAGCTACACCTCTTGTTTGTATTTCGCTTTGTGACAGCCGTAATAATTCAGGTTAATGGGAACATATTCTTTATTGGAGCTAAAATGATTAATCCAACATAAAATTATATGACATCTATTTGAACAAATGCTTCATTGTTTAACAAGTTTTTTCTTCAAGTTTTTAATTGAGAATATTTTTGGGGGGTTATTTCTTTTGACAGGACTGTTGATCGAGCAAAACTTATATTTGAAGATTTAACCCTTCAGACTCAAGTAGTTAATCTAGTATGTAGATTAATCAATAAGGAAGATTATTGTTATTTTCAGACCAAAGAGAATATTCTTCCTTATATTGTTCTTAGAAATGCTTTTAAAGAAGTAAATGTGTTTGAACAATGTTATATATTGAAAATACCTCTTGTCGGCCCTTGTTTCTTTCTTTGTCTTACTCCTTACCTTGCATTTGTTCTAACCAACTTTAATTATATATAATTTATTGCTTTCGTGTTGTCTTCTATCTTAATTGGAGTAAACACAGGCTCTGACATCCTCGGTAATTTCCTTTCGTTGAAGAGCAGAGCTTCTGTGAATCATGTTTTAAATGTTGTCTCAATGAGCTTCATTAGTGTTTCAGATTTAAATGCATGCTGTACTCTTTGTTTTGGAGGCTCTTAAATCCTTCAGGAATCTGTCAAAGTGCTGCACTACAGACGGTTAATACCATAATGCCAGTGTCTCCTTGTCTTCGGTCTTTTTTTGTCTCGCTTCAGTGTGTGTGTCTGTGTGTGCACATGCGTGTTCACCGTAGGAGATGGATGAGGGTAATTTCCATTGGCCCAGGCACTACTTTATCACTACAGTGTACACATAAACACACAGACACACACACAAAAAAACATTGCCTGAGGAGCCACTTTATCACTATAAGAAACAAAAAGGGGGTGTTAAATCAAAAGCAGATCGCATTACACCTCTATTCCTGTTGAACACATACACACATGCAGAAATATGTCGTGTGAAATCAATATGCAGCAGCTCATAGACACTTGCACTCTCGCTTGTGAAAGGGACATTTATAGATGGCAGTGGCAAGGTGAAACACGCAGCCTACACACGGTGCAAGGTGAATGTGAAGAAAACAATATACCCCCATTCCAGCTGGACAATAAACGACTAACACCTCCCGACATCTGGCTTTGATCTGCAGTGTAAAAAGTAAGAATCGACATTTACTCTGTAAAGAGATTACCTCTGCAGTCGTCACCTCAGCTCTGATTTGGTTTTCTAACCCTTGCATTTATGTATCTTCACTTAATGTTCCCTTTTGTACTAAACACATGATTAGCATTTTACAGTTGAAGTCAGTAATGGAAATGTCACAACCGGGTGGGCATGCATATTTGTTATCCTTTTCAGCGCAACGTTTTTTAAGAAATGTTTTAAATCGACATGGATTTGGACAATCATTATTATTATGTAATTTATATTCATGTACAAAACAATCAATTCATATGTTCTCCTCAAAGCCACAAGGACCAATCAGAAAACAGCAATTTGTGAATCAATGATTCAAATCATCAGTTCCAGCAATTACCAAATCTAGTTTGAGAGTTTGAAAGAAAGACTGACAAAGTGACGTGTCAAAAAAGAAGTAGCCACAGAGACATTTCAATTGTTTCCAACCAGTGTCTGTACACATAAAAAAAAAAGGAAAAAGAAAGGCATACTTGTCCAAAGGCAATGGGAAGGACTCTATAGCCTATTTAAAGCAAAGTATATAGCTTGGATAACGTTGTGTTTTTATGGTTTAATTATATTTTTCACATTTTGTCCTTTCTTTAGTACGAGCTTTTTCATATTCACACTATTATGCTAATTCACTGATTGCATGTCTCTATGCTAATGGGCCACTTAAATTAGCAGTCTCTGTTCTGTGAAGGACACACAGTTGGGTGTGTGTGTGTGTGTGTGTGTGTGTGTGTGTGTGTGTGTGTGTGTGTGTGTGTGTGTGTGTGTGTGTGTGTGTGTGTGTGGCAGAGCATGTAAGTAGAGCATGTAAGTATATATAAACACAATCATATGTAGATGACAGGGTGGCATTACCTGTACATGATCTTGTTTGTAATTGATCTCTTTAAAAGTCACAGATTACACAAATCAGGGCTCGCGGAAATCCCCATAAAGGTCAAACTTATCATTTTAGATACAATAATTATCCAACTTCTAGTGTTAAGATTCATTTTTTTCGTCACCACCACTCCGACGATTTGCTTCGTATGAAGTTAAGCTCTTTCAGTCCTTCTTCTCTAATCTTTTGTTAGTATGTTGTATCTTATTGCCAAGTTACCTCTTTGCTTTGGCTTCTGTAATTAGGATCTGTGAATCATGGCAGCGTTTCATGTAATTCCACAGGAGAAACCTGGCCGACCGAACACAGCTTAGTGTTCATGGATGTGTGTCCTTTTACTTTTTTTGGCACTGAATATGTTTCTGTGTTTACGGCATGTTTATTGAGCATAGTCTGAATGAGAGTGATGCTAGAGTAAAGGTATTTCATGATAACAAACAAGG